CGCCAAAAACGGTTTCACTAAAATTGCGGATATTTTCTTGCCGCCCAAAAATCTCACATCGGCAATTTGCCGCTATTGAATTTTGGTAGAAACATTCCGTTTTCCGGAAAGCGGTATATCTCCACTTACCGCCAATCTTATATATCTGTGTTCGTATGGAATAGTAGCTTATGTCGGAAAGCTTGCTTTAGTATACTGCGGCATACTGTTTATTCTTTAAACGACAAGGAATTTTTTGATGAGATTAATTAAGAATATTGACTTGCTAGTATCGGAAATATTTCTTGCATGTTTATTTGCCAAAAGTTGTTCAACGGCTCGGCGCCAGCGAGTCATTCGCAATCGTATGCTGCGAATGCCGCATTATAGTAAAGCCAGCCTTTCGACATAAGCTACTATTCCATACGAACACAGATATATATATGTACATATATACAAATTCTGATATATACCCCAAAATAAATTCCGTTGCAGTTTATATGCCTACTGTGTCCCACTGTGCAAGAACAAAATATTAGCACATTAAAATCACATACTTTCCTCTGCTTACCAATTTTTGCCGTTGGTCGCATAGTTCGTTGAACTTGGCTAAACAAATTGCCGAAAAACATAAGTGCACTATTTCCCATATATCATATGTACATACGTTAGCACATATAAACATTTTTACCAGTTGCATTTTCTGCAACTATTCGTATAATAGCTAAGAGAGTCGCTGCTATTTATCGAACAATACAGTCCACACGTACCAAGCGCACTCTAGCTTATTTTAATTTATTTCAATCTTGCTTTTCTCTGCTGCACTCACCAAGCTAAGAGAACGTAAATCAAAGCCCGCTCTCTCAGCGGTGAGCGGCTCTTTACGTATTATTATATCCACTTGTGCATTCCCGCACACATACATACATACGCACTATAATCAAAACAAATTCTCTGTTGTTTTCGTTTCTTAACTCACCACTGCTGTGACAAAGCATAGCTTAGCCATATACTCGGCTTCATACGTAAATATTTGTACATACATACGTACGTACATTTTTACATTCTACATATTCTGCACTTTTGTACATACGTGCTAACAAAGAATATTGTCACACGAATATTATCCATAACGCGATAAGAAGTGAGTTCAAGATATCAGATACATGCAACCCAGTAGGGAAAGCTCCCGAATTGCATTGGTCTAGATAGTGATAAATAACCATTACTTTTTCAGTATTTACATAATTAGTTATATCACATTAAATATTTATACATACGTATATTTCACCACGTATATAAAAGTGAAAAGTGTTTGTGATTTTTTTTTTCTCGTACTGAAATTTTTCAAATCCAAATTCCGCGGATTTAATTGGGACGCTCCGTTTTCCACGTAATAAAAAGTGCTGAACCAAAAATTAAAGCAAATATAATTTCACGTAATTTGCAAGAAACAAAAAACACAAACACCGCCACAAAATCTTAAAATTCTTTTCCTGATTTTCTGTGGCACAAAGTGCAATTTTTACTCGTTTGACATATATTTTTCTAATTTTTGCGAACGTTATCTGGGTGGTACTCAGTAAAATTTGATAAATTTTTCTCTCAATTTTTATACGTGTGACCTTCCACAGCATTAAAAATGCCACTTGGACACAGTCCACCAAAAATGTCTGAAATCGAGACAAGGTCAAAAACTGCTTCGCAAGAAGCCACCAGTGGTAAGAGGGAACCCTCACCGCGCCCGAAACCTAAAACTTTTGACCCATCCGCTCAAAAGTTTATAGCGGAAAGTGACAGTATCATGAGATACTGTGCAAGATTCAGTGATGCACCGATCCAAGACCACACTGAATCATATCTTATGATAAAAGACAAATCACTAGATGATTGTTGGGCACGGCTTCAGTCCGCCTATGATTTGGTTTTTTCAAAGCCAGATGACAGCCTACCCGAAAACTTTAAGAGTTCGGTAGAAGGCAAGTACTTCACTTGCCTTGAATTATATGAGGTGACCAAAGCTAAAATTGCCGATCAACTGTCGTTGATTAAAGCAATCGCCGCACCGAGTCCACCACCCCGCGTGGAACACACCTCGGCAGAGGCAAACGTTTTTTCTTCAAGTCCCACCTTGTGACACGGAGACATTTTACGGTGGTTACGAAGAATGGCCCGCTTTTCGTGACATGTTCACAGCGGTGTACATCAACCACCCGAAGCTCTCCCGTGCTCAAAACCTGTATCACCTTCGGTACAAAACTCAAGGAAAAGCCGGTTCCATCGTCAAGCAATACCCGCTCAGCGATGATAACTTCGAGCTGGCCTGGGAAGCTTTACGGTCACGATACGAAAACAAACGTATCTTGGTTGACAACCAAATTAAAATTTTGATGACTTTGCCGACTATTCAATCCGAGAATAGCGAGCAACTTCAAAGGCTGCAAACATCAATTCACACCTGTCTGTCAGTTCTTAATTCCCAAGACGTCCAGACAGACAGTTGGGATCCCATATTGGTGTACATTTGCTCATCCAAATTGCCCGAAACCACACTGTCACTTTGGGAACAATCTCTCTCTTCTCGAAGAGATTTACCCTCATGGTCACAAATGGACGATTTTCTTACTTCTAGATACGAAGTAGTCGAAAGACTTAACCGGCTTCATCCAAGCCAAAATAAACAAAAACCAGTCGCTCATCAAAATGCTGCGCAAAACAGGTCCTTTAACAGGACTCAAACCTTTGTGGCAGAACCTAAGAGGGAACCAACTTGCTCTTACTGCAAGTCCCCTCATCCCATTAGAGTCTGCCCACAATTTAAGCGAATTTCGGTACCGAACCGAGTACAATTCGCAAACCAAACCAAGCTGTGCAAAAACTGCCTTGGTAATACCCATAGCACTAATGAGTGTCCGAGCAAGTGGTCATGTACACATTGCCAACAACGACATCACTCCCTGCTGCACATGAACCCCAAACCACAATCTCGACACTCCAGTGCGCGAGGGAATGAAACCGCCGCACAACACACTACTGCCCAGTCGACACCTCCCGCTCGACAAGCGCAGTCAAGCTCCGATTCCAGCGAGCAACCGTGCTGTTCCAAACAAGCACAAATACAATCATTGCACACCGACAATGATAGCAAAATTCTCCTTCCAACTGCCATAGTCGCAGTTGAACACGAGGGTGAATTGTTTCAACTTAGAGCCCTGATTGATCAAGGCTCACAAAGAACTTTCATTTCCTCGAAAGTTCAAAAACGGTTGAAACTACCATTCGAACATTCCAAGTTCGAAATTTCCGGCATGGGTGGACATGTAGTACAAAGCTCCTCAAAGCTTTGTCCACTCACATTGGTAGCACCAAAAACCATGCAACGGATAAACACACAGGCTATCGTGTTACCTCAGCTCACGAGGCACATGCCTACATTCACCATTAGCCGTGAAAACTGGCAGCAATTCAAGATCCTTGAACTTGCTGACCCAAGCTGTCACATACCAGCTCAAACTGACATGGTAATCGGCAGCGATATACTTCCACAAATCCTGCTGGAAGGTATACAAAACATTTGCGACACAATACTTGCGCAAAAAAAAATATTTGGCTGGATTCTCAGTGGTCCAGTAACCGAAAATGTGGTGTCATTCTCGACACAAGTAGAAGAGTGCTCGAATGCAACTCTCAGCTCTCAGCTTCGAAAGTTTTGGGAAGAGGAGGAGATTCCACAGCCTCCACAAATTTCCCCGGAAGATCAGGCTTGTGAGCATATATATGCAACAACAACGACTCGTGCCCCAAACGGTCGATACATTGTGCGACTTCCATTCAAGGAAGAATTTCCGAAAAAGCTGTCTCTGGGTCACTCTCGGTCTGCTGCACTGCAGCAGTTTTTTAGCATGGAGCGATCGCTTCAGAAAAAAGGAGACTTAGGCACAATGTATAACAATGTGTTGCAAGAATATCTCGACCTCGGTCATATGGAGCACACGAAGCCATTTGAGATAGTAGCTAATGGCAAATACTTCTCATTCTACTTGCCACACCATGCGGTCGTCAAACCAGATAAGGTAACCACCAAAGTTCGCGTGGTATTCAACGCCTCAAAAACATCTGGTTCAGGAAAATCCCTGAATGACGTGTTGCACACTGGTCCCACACTCCAGCCAGATCTCATGCTGCTCATTCTGCAATGGCGAATGCACAGATTCGTGTTCAATGGCGACATTGAAAAAATGTATCGTCAAATACTCATCCATGAGGACGGTGAAGATTTTCAGCGAATCTTATTTCGCACATCGGCTGACTCTCCTGTCACCGATTATAATCTTAAAACCGTAACGTTCGGGGTTAATTGTGCACCATACCTCGCTATCCGTACCCTGCATCAATTAGCAGATGATACGATAGCGACATTTCCCTTGGCTGCCACAATACTTAAAACCGAAACGTATGTGGATGACATCCTATCCGGAAGTCATGATATTGACAACGCCACTGAATCACTTCTTCAAGTGATCAAAGCGCTTAAGTCAGCTGGTTTCATACTCAAGAAACTAACGGCCAATCATCCGGCCATCTTAGAAAAATTTCCAAAGGAGGATCTTCTCGACTCCAACCTTTTGAAATTTGAGAGCGCTTCCACAACCAAAACTCTTGGTATACAATGGAACGCACTCACCGATAAGTTTTCCTACACCATTCTGCCTGCATCGACATCGAATGCCGTCACAAAGCGACAAATCTTATCCTCTGTCGCAAAACTTTTTGACCCGGCAGGATGGCTATCGCCAGTGATGATTCAAGCAAAGATTCTTCTTCAAGAACTTTGGCTAGATGGCGTTGATTGGGACGAATGTGCCAAACCTATATCTTTAGCAAAATGGCAACAGTTCGCAGAAAATCTGCCAGCTATCTGCCACATCGAAATCCCTCGATGGGTTAATTTCACTCCGGGGCAAGATACCCAAATCCACGGGTTTTGCGATGCCTCGGAAAAAGCATATTGCGCTGCGATTTACATCCGCGCAGATGCTAGCAACCAAAGATATTCCACTCTCTTGGTTGCAAAAAGCAAAGTCGCACCATTGAAGACGGTAAGCTTGCCACGCCTGGAGCTGTGTGGTGCAGTCTTACTCGCAAAACTGGTCGCAACTGTTCGAAAACAGCTCAAATTGGAATCGTGCAACATATTCTTATGGTCAGATTCAGAGATTGTGCTAGCTTGGCTTGAAAAGCCACCATGTACATGGAAGACGTATGTATCCAATCGTACCTCTCAAATCCGGGAATATCTTCCAACCGGTACATGGCGCCATGTTGCCAGCCAAGACAACCCAGCCGACCTCGGCACCCGTGGTTGCAAACCGCAGGACTTGGCAAATTCCCCACTCTGGTGGCACGGACCAAACTGGCTCTCTTGCCACATGGATGCATGGCCAAGGTCAAAGGCATGCAGTGCATCTCCACCAGAAAAGCGCAAGGTGGAAGTATATCACGCGCTCGAAGAAGAGGTCGATTTTCTTGATCGCTGTTCTTCTTTCTCTCGAGCACTCCGCGTGACTGCGTACATGTTCCGCTTCGTGAGCAATGCCCGCAACAAATCAAAGGGGTTAGCTACAATCACCTATCCGCATCTGACACATAACGAATTTCAATATGCAAAAATTCGTCTTATCAACGCAGCGCAATCACGCCATTTTCCGCGCGAATGCAATGCAAGATAAAAAGCCACTTAACAAAAAAAGTCCTCTTATTGTTCTCAATCCTTCGTTGGACAAAGACGGACTTCTACGGGTTAATGGCCGATTAGCACATTCCACATTAAGCTATAATGAAAGGCACCCAATAACCCTCCCTACCGATTCAAGGTTCTGCCAGCTATATTTGGAGTTTTTACACTCGCTGCTTCTTCACGCAGAAACACGATTAATGGTCCAAATGGTAAGGCAAGAGTACTACGTACCAAAGCTGAAACCTCTAGTTAAAAAATGCATCTTTCAATGCAAAGTGTGCACGCTGTACAAGCAACAAACACGCACCCAAATAATGGCCGCTCTACCCCCTGAGCGCTGCAGTTTCTCACTCCCATTTTCCACAACGGGAGTAGATTTTGCTGGGCCATTCCACATTAAAGCATCGGTGCTAAGATCTACAACCCTTATCAAGGGATACGTTGCAGTTTTTGTCTGTTTTTCCACAAAGGCAGTGCATCTCGAGCTATGCTCGGATCTTACAACCGAAGCTTTTCGAGCAGCATTCGCCCGCTTCGTTGGCAGACGAGGTTTTCCCTCAAAAATGATGAGCGACAATGGAAAAACGTTCATTGGCGCCCAGCGCGCAACAGAACGCGACTTCGTTAAATTCCTTAACGAATGTTCCGCAGACATTGTCAAAAAATATGCCCCTCAAGGCATCAACTGGCAATATATACCACCCAGCGCCCCCCACATGGGCGGCTTGTGGGAATCTGCAGTGAAAAGCTTTAAAATCCATTTAAAGAAAACCGCTGCAACCCACAAGTTCACCTTCGAAGAATTCACGACGCTTCTGGTGCGAATTGAAGCAGTCCTCAACTCGAGGCCTCTATCCGCACTTTCTCAAGACCCAGCTGATATGACAGCACTTACTCCGGGTCACTTCCTTCGAGGTGCACCGCTATTGGCCATTCCCGAGCCTAATGCGGAAGACCTCTCTCTACTAAACCGATGGGAGAAAGTCAAAGCACTTCACCACCAATTTAGTCGCCGCTGGAAAGAAGATTACCTCAAAGATCTTCAGAAGAGGTACAAGTGGAAAACTCCACAACGCGACCCTCAGCCAGGCGACATCGTCGTGATCAAAGAAGATTCACTCCCCCCCACCGAGTGGCGATTGGGACGAATCGAAAACGTTCGCCATGGCCCTGATAACCACATACGTGTTGTGGAAGTCCGTACACAAAATGGAGTTATCACGCGGCCACTTGTCAAACTGTGCTTCCTTCCAAAAGCACAATAAATAATTCTATACATCCTTTCCTTTTGTATATTAAGGGTCTTAACTTCCCGTTTAAATATTGTACCCAAGTACTTCTCGTTTCTCTGCCTTTGCTTCTACTTACAGATCGAAGACATCATGGCAGCACGGAAGGCATGCCCCCTGGCTCCAACGGCAGAGACAGACAACTGCCTACAATGCCGGCTCTGCCACCGTTACCACGCATTGCGGACGTGCCCGGCCTTCAAGGCGATGAAGCCGCCGCAACGGTTGGGAGTAGCCCGCGCGCAAGGCTACTGCGTCAACTGCCTTGCGCTCACCCACACTACCGGGGAATGCGACTCGCCGGGTAGTTGCAAGACCTGCGGGCTAGCGCACCACACGCTGCTGCATGTGGCAGCCAACACGCATGCGCGCACGGGGCCAAGGGAACAGGGGCCCAAGAAGAGGAAACCGGCCACAAAGGCCCCAAGGAGCGTCAAGCGGCGCGCACCGCCGAAGAAAAAGGCGCTGAAGAAGGCGCAGAAGAACCCGCGCAGCCACGCGCCGCAACCGCCGCGCAAGAAGACCGCCCAACGGACGATCGCGCGCACGCCCCAAGGCCTACAAACGGCCAATTTCCAGGGCCGCACCACCCACCGCGTCCTGGGCAACACGATCCGCGCCCTGAAAGAGCTGCAGGAGACGCTCAGCAACGCATTCCTGCAGGGCGGGGATGATGTCTAAGCCGCCGCTTAAGCCGAGTTCAGCGGCCGTGCGCGCGCACTTT